ATTGATCTATCCAAATAACTGTCAATTCATATATCATAAGTTACTTTTTAACTTTCCTAAACATTTTCTATATCTAGATCTTTATATCCCTATAAAAACTTTATATCTAAAAGCATCTATGTATTAAATTTGTCAGGAGAAATAAGTGATTGATTATTGAGAATAGCCAATGTAAAGTGAATTTCTTTTAATAAAAGAGCAGTAAAGGGTCATTTTGAAATCTGTTATGTGTGCTATCTTTTCTTAAATTTGGAAAGCAAGGCAAATTATCTTTAAACCTGGTAAATGGAAATATAATCTAAATTATCTTAAAGCATAGTTTGGTCAAAACCCTGGCAATAAGGGGTATGGCAGTTTTGTCCAAAGCATAAACTTTTTAAATGTTAGGGGGCTAAGTAATGAATTGATTATATGAATTTAGCACACTTAGCAGGCATATAAATATGATTTTGTATACATTAGAGAATCTGATCATTTATGATGATCAAGTTTTAATTTCTATCCTAATAATTATCTCTAATAGGTATAGCTTAAGTACAACTTTTCTTTAACAGTTTACAGTTTAGGTTGGCCAATCAATCAATAAGTTTTATTTCTTAATTATCTTTATTTAAAGTAAACTTATTCTTAACAATTTACAAGTTAGTTGCCCTTATAAGCTTAGAACTTTGGTTTTATACCCGTCATTTTAGCCTTAAAAATATTAAGTTTGTACTGAAGTTATTTTAATATTGAAAAAGAACTTTCATTCAAAAATATAGTATATTAGGAGAGTAACAATTTAATAAATCCTTTAAGGTGTATCATGAAATGAGATAAGCACAGTAAAAGGCCCAAACTAAAACAGAGGAGAAGGAATTTTTTTTTAGCAGTTGCAGCCGGTTTGTCCAGTCTGTATCAAGCGGGATAGCCACCAGGAATGGCAAGGTGAGGAGAAGGATGGAGAGGACTCAAAGGCTCAAGTGAGCTGAGATGCAGATAGCAGATAATTAGGTTCAGAGAGAAGCAGGCAGATGTTTAGGATTCCAAGCTCCAAACGTCTTTGGGGGTCTGATGAATCCATACAGGTTGTAGCAGGGCGTCCCCTAACCAGGACCTATTTTTTTGAAATAGGTTAACTGAAGTTCTTGTACTTGGCCAAGATTTTTGTAAATTACCAAGAACTTAATAGTCAACCCAGAAAAAGGAAAGAGAGAGAAAGAGACACTTTTTTAGGAGAGCTGGGAGTTGCCCTTAGTTTTTAAACCGGCTCTGGCTGTGAGGCTTGCATTATTATTTAAATGAAGGCCACTGGAATGAGCTCCTAGTTGGCTGCTGGAGTGAGAAGTTTAGGGCTCAAGTTAGCCATTAGATTCCAATAGTTTTAGCAAAAAAGACTGTAGCAGGCCGCTGCTGCTACTATGGAGACCATAGTGAACTTTATTAGCTCTGGTTTATGCTCTCAGGAGGTCTGGTAGTGTGAGAACATTGTGTTACCTCCTTGTAAGACCCTGAATGAAGTAACCACAGGTTTCTCCCTAAAAGGGAGGGGTTAGCATCTCTGCTGCTGGTCATAGTCTGATGGTAGATCGATTTCATAAGGTTGGCAGCTTTTAGGGGTCTCCTAAGTCTTTCCATACGTTTTTTAGGAGGCTTTATGGGATTAAGATAGTCTGTTTCCTTATTTAAGCTTGTAAACTGACTGGAGTTGACTGAAATGCCTTTTGTCTTAATCCTGTGTCCTGTAACGTCTATCAGAAGCTGTTTCTCTTCAGACTCATTCTGACTATTTGGGTGGGGGGGTGTTATTCATAGCTACTCACCGCTCCAAACAGGAGTGGGGTGGTCGGTGTCCCCGGGATCTGCAGCATCCTTCGGTGAGGACTGATTGTAGCTGATACTCCAGAGGTCTCCAAAAATCGTACCTCTGTGAAGCGATACCTCTCTCCCTGGATGTG